GCTTCAATCTCATTACTCGTTATTGGTCTGTTTAGGTTTTCTAGTTCTTCATGATTCAACCTTGGTAAGTTGTATATGTCCAGGCATTTATCCATTTCTTCTAGATTTTCCAGTTTATTTGCATATAGTTGTTTGTAGTAGCTTCTTATGATCATTTGTATTTCTGTGATATCAGTTTTAATGTCTCCTTTTTCATTTCTAATTTTGAGTCTCTTTTTTTAATGTTAGTCTAGCTAAAGGTTTATCAATTTTATCTTTTTGAAAAACCAACTCTTTGTTTCATCAGTCTTTTGTATTTTTTGAATCCCTAATTCTTTAATTTCTGCTCTGATCTTTGTTATTTTCTCCTTCTACTGATTTTGGGTTTGGTTTGTTCTTGTTTTTCTAGTTCTTTGAAGTGTAATGTTAGGTTGTTTATGTGAAGTCTTTCTTTTTTGATGTAGGTATTTATTGTGACAAACTTCCCTCTTAGAAATGCGTTTGCTTTATCCCATAGGTTCTGGTATGTTGTCTTTTCATTTGTCTCCAGGAAGTTTTAAATTTCCTTCTTTCAGGGCCGGCCGGTGGCTCACTCAGAAGAGTGTGGTGCTGATAACACCAAGGCCACAGGTTCAGATCCTATATAGGGATGGCTGGTTAGCTCACTGGCTGAGCGTGGTGTTGACAACACCAAGCCAAGGGTTAAGATACCCTTACTGGTCATCTTTAAAAAAAAATTAAAAATTAAAAATTAAAAATAATAAATTTCCTTCTTCACCCAATCATTGTTTAGAAGCATGTTGTTTAATTTCCATGTATTTGTGTAGTTTCTAGTGTTCCTCTTATTGATTTTTAGTTTTATTCCATTATGGTCAGACAACGTAGTTGATATGATTTCAATTTTTTAAAATTTGTCGAGACTTGATTTGTGACCTAACATATGGTCTATTCTGGAGACTTTTTCAAGTGCTGGTGAGAAGTATGTGCATTCTGAAGCTGTTGGATGAAATGTTCTATATATGTCTGTTAGGTCCAATTGGCCTAGAGTGGATATTAATTATGATGTCTCCTGATTAATTTTCTGTCTGGATGATCTGTCTTTTGCTAAAAAGGGGGTGTTAAACTCCCCAACTATTACTGTATTCAGGTCTATTTCTCCTGTTAGGTCTAATAGTAATTGCTTTATATAACTGGGAGCTCCAGAGTTGGATGTGTATATATATTCGGAATTGTTATATCCTCTTGTTGAATTGATCCCTTTATCATTATATAATTACCCTCCTTATCTTTACTTTCCTTGGCTTGAAGTCTATTTTATCTGATATATGTATAGCTCCTGCTCTTTCTTGGTTTCCATTTGCATGAAAAGTCTTTTTCCACCCCTTCACTTTCAGACAGTGTGTGTCTTTATAGGTGAAGGGAGTTTCTTGTAGGCAGCATATTGTTGGTTCTTATTTTATAATCCATTCAACTACTCTGTGTCTTTTAATTTGGGCTTTTAATGTTTACATTTAGAGTTACTATTGATAGACAGGGACTCATTAGTGCCATTTTGTTGCCTTTTTTTCTGGTTGTTTTCTTGATCCTTTTTTCTTATCTTACTGACTTCCTTTGTGATTGAGTGGTTTTTTTTAGCATTGTATTTTGATTTCTCACTATTTATTTTTACTATGTCTCTTCTAAGTTTTTGTGTTATGGTTACTGTGAGGCTTACAAAAATGTGTTATAGTTATAACAGATTATTTTAGACTAGTAGCAGCTTAACTTTGATATCTAAGAAAAAATACACTTTGGCATCACTGTGTCCCCTTCCCCCACCCCTTTTTATATTTTGTTGTTTCAAGCTGCATCTTTTAATATTGCCTATCTCTTATATCGTTGTTTTTTTTTTTTTAAAGATGACTGGTAAGGGGATCTCAACCCTTGGCTTGGTGTTGTCAACACCACGCTCAGCTAGTGAGCCAACTGGCCATCCCTATATAGGATCCGAGCCCGTGGCCTTGGTGTTATCAGCACCGCACTCTCCTGAGTGAGCCACGGGCCAGCCCACATCGTTGTTTTATATATTACTGTCTTGTTAGCTTTGGCCTTTAGTCTTCATACTAAGCACATGAGCAGTTTACTCACCACCCTTAGACACTGGAGTATTCTGAGGTTGTCTATGAACTTACTTTACTAATGACTTAAGTATTTTCAGATGTTTCTTGCTGTTCCTTAGTGTTGTCTTCTTTCAGATTAACAAACTCTCCTATTTCCTGTAAGGCAGGTCTAGTGTTGATGAATTCCCTCAGCTTTTTTTCTGGGAAAGATTTTATTTCTTCATATTTGAAGGTTAGTTTTACTGGATAAAGAATTCTTGGCTGACAGTCTTTTTCTGTCAGCATTCTGAATATATCATCCCATTCTCTTCGGGCATGTAGTACTTCTACTGAGAAATCTGCTGCGAGATGTACTGGGGTTCTGTCGAAGGTTATTGTATTTCTTTTATTTCGCTGTTTTCAGTATTCTTTCTTTGTCTTTGGTATTTGATAATTTGATTATGCTGTGCCTTGGGGTGTTCCTCCTTGGATGGAATTTGACTGGCGACCCCTGAGCTTCCTGTACCTGGATGCCGTCATCTTTCTCCATACCTGAGAAATTTTCAGTCATTATTTCCTTGAATATCCTTTCTACATCTCTTCCTTTTTCCTCTTCTTCAGGTATGCCAGTTATGTGGAGATTATTTCACTTGAGGGAGTCCCATATTTGCTGTGTTTCTGTTGCATTTTTTCTTATTCTTTTTTTCTTTTTGCTTCTCTGATTTGATAATTTCATATATTCTATCTTCAAGCTCACTGATTCTTTCCTCTGTTTGATTAAGTCTGCTGTTGGAATTTTCTATTGAGTTTTAATTTCAGATAATGTATTCTTTATTTCTAGATTTTTTTTAGTTGATTCCTTTGTGAAGTTTCTCATTCTGCTTCTGGATTGCTTTCCAGATATCATTTAATTTTCTATCTGTATTTTCTTGTGACTCTCTGAACATCCTTAAGAGGGTTATTCTGAATTCTCTGTCAGACATTTCATACATCTGCTGTTTCTCTCGGTCCATTGCTGGTGCTTGGTTTCCGTCAATGGTATATTAGTCCATTTTGTGTTGCTTATAACAAAATAGACAGAACTGGGTGATTATAAAGAAAAACGAAATTTATCACTTACAATTTCTAAGGCTGGGAAGTCCAAACCATCTGGTGGTGGTGATAGTGACCCAGGGATCTCACATTGCAAGATGGTGGAAGCAGAGAAAGAGAGAGACAGACTCTCTTCTTTTAAAGCCCCCAGAACCATGACTCTGACCACCATTTTTAATGCCTTCACTACTGCAGGGTTCTACAGTCTAATCACCTCTTTAAGGCTCCACCTTTCAGTTACTGTAATAGGATTTCCCACCCTCTTAGTCACAGTGGGGGCTAAGTTTCTAATACATAAAACTTGGGGGGACACAATTCAAGCTTCAGGGAGTTTTGGGGGGACATAATTCAGTCCACTACAGATGGTGTCATGTTTTTCTGTTCTTTCTCAGTCTTTGTGTGTTTACACTGATGCCTGGGCATTTGAGACCCTATCTCTTCTAGGTTTTATACCTGTTCTTTGGTGGTGTTATACCTTTACTGGTTAATATCAGAGCTTTTTCTCTGGTCTGGTGTTTTGTTTTGCTTTCTTTTTTCAGTTCTGTGATGGACTATTAGCCACCACTACCATTTAAACTCTGCACTGTAGCTAGTTTGTTGTCCTTTGGTTAATTCCAAAATTGGGAGAACTCCCTGTGGGAACCAGCATTTGAGCTCTGTGGTTGAGCTAAATTTCTATTTTGCTGCTGATTCTCTGGGGAAGGCTTTTTGGGTGGATCAGGTTTTAATTGTTGGCTTTTTAATCACGTCTGGGTCTTGTGAGGTCAGATACACCTGGGCTGTGTGGAAATTCTGGCCCAGGAATGAGGCTGTCCAGCAAACTGCATCCCCTGCAGTTCTGTCACCTTGACTAGCCTCCACTGAATGGGCCTGTGCCAACTGGAAGATCAGCTGCCCACATTGTGCCCCAACATTCCCCTGGTGGACCAGCCTCCCCCCACACTCCATACACTTTCCTTGGGGTGTGCCATGCACAGGTCCCTCATGGTGACTCACCAGCCTCTGGGTGGTTCCTTTCTTTGGTTGGCTACAGCCCCTTGCTCCTATGTGAGTCCACAGAAATCCTGTATGGTGGCCTGGAGGCTGGTATGGTGCACTCCGAGGCCCTCTTCTTCCCTGCAGACTCCAAGAAACTTCACACAAAGGGCTCAGTTGTGACTTTTTCTGGCTCCTGTTCCATGTGCTGCAGCTTTTTTCTTCCCCTCACCAGGCTGGCCTGAAGTGGTGGGCCTCCAAACAGTTGGAGTGGTCCCTTCTCCCTCTCACTGTGGCTTCTCCTGCCTTCATAAACTCCCTAGGCCTCTCCTGCTCCTTTTTCTCTTTCGTGTTTTAAACACAGTCTTTCAGTTTACTGAATTATCAGGAGTTCTTGCAGGGAACTAATCCACTTGTGTCTGCTGACTCACACTTAATTTGCCTGATTTTTTAAACTATGGGAAAGTCTGTGTGATTGGCCTTTGGAAGTACAAGGCACTTCTGTGTGTGCATCTGTCAGGTGCCCCAGGCCCTGGGGTCCACTGGCATGGGACTAGTTTTTACACTTATTTCTTGCATAACTTTTAAGAGGAGATAGCTGCTCTGCATCCTAAAAGGGCATCCCCAAGCCATTCTCCCCCTTTCCCTGCTTTGGTAACTCCACTGTATCAGGATGGCTTCCTCTCAGATACATTTAACCACCTCGTTTACTTCTCCAAAACTCATGACCTTAAGAGACTCCTACCTGAAGACAACCAGGTGACAACTCAGTTCTTTTCTCTGTGGCCTCATTAGTGAAATTCAGGACACACTCTCAGTGATGGTGGGACAACCTGCACTCTCGTCAACTGAATTCCGTATTATTGTTTTTTTCAGACTCGTTTATGTTGCAGGCCGGGAAGGCCACATGCTTAAAGTGCTCTCTTACATTAGCGTCAAGCGCCTAACTCCAGCCCCTGCCATCATCTTTTATGTAAGTATGAATTCCACCATGACAACACCTACCTTTTTTCTTAAATTTAATATTTAAATTTTTATTGATGTACAAGGAACATAGAAATATACGCACAAGCATGTATGTAAAGCTCAGTGAATTATTACAAATTAATACATGTGTGTAATGAAAAAATAGGACAATGCCTACCTTAATTTGGATGGTGAAGCAGATGTGAACTGCTAAGCCCAGTGGTTTTCAGGTTCCCTTATTCCTTGACATGAAACAGATGTATAAAAAAAATCCCTAGACAATTCAAACAATTTACCTGATTTCTACTCCTTTTTCTGATTTTATCCACAAAAGATATTGTTTGAATCTTCCAAGCTTGTACCTTCTATACTTCTTTTTTTTGTCTTTTTGTCTTTTTTTTTTTCGTGACCGGCAACGGATCGCAACCCTCAGTGTCGCGCCCGTACCGGACCGGGACCGGCAACGGGATCGCAACCCTCGGTGTTGCCCCCGCTCCTCGCTCAGCCAGTGAGCAGCCGGTCCGTATGTGGGATCCGAACCCTCGGCGGGAGCGCCGCCACGCTTCCCAAGTGCAGCACTGTAGCAGTGCGCCACCGGGCTGGCCCCTATATACTTCTTACATGTATGTATATTTGTCTGTTCTGGGTCCTTGGTAACAAACTATATACAAGCCCATTAGCTTACAGAAAAGGAGAATATAGCATTTTAGAAGATGGTTATTGACAACAACCTTTCATCGTGGTCTCAGAAGTCATGGGACTCCTGTGCAATAACGGCCCTTTGACATCTTCTAAATGAAGTTTCTCAGTGGTGGATAGTTCTTGGAACTTGAACTGTTCTGGGCACTGAGAGACCATCCACATTCCTAGTCTTAGGGCCAGACTACGCCCCCCCACCCGCAGAGGAGAACCATTACTCTCTATCTGCATGCGCACTGTGAAGATGAGGCAACAGATGAGAGAATGGAAATACAAGTCCAGGGCCACGCAACTAATGTGGGTCAAGATCAGACCTGAGTGTCATAGTCTAGGGCTCTTGCCCATAATGAAAATTCTCTGAAAGAAAAAAAAAATCATACTTATGGGGAGGGTTTTATATAATTATATATATAAAATCACTTCAAAGATTAAAAAATTTTCCAAGTCTTTCCTGTTAGACTTCAAAAAGAACAGCTATCATAGCCAAAGTCAGGTTTAACTCCAAGAATAATGGGATACATATGAAGTTTTTTCCACACTGTGAAGTGTTTATCCACAGGAAAACCTGCTTCAGTCTTCTTTGAAGTGCTAAGAATAATGTTTTTTGTACTAATGACCTAAAACTTCATCCTTCTTTCTATTACTAGGGTATCATAGCAACCATTTATATCATCCCTGGTGACATAAACTCATTAATCAATTATTTCAATTTTGCCACATGGGTATTTTATGGCCTGACAATCCTAGGACTCATTGTGATGAGGTTTACGAGAAAAGAACTGGAGAGGCCTATCAAGGTAAGTTTCGAGTCCCAAAGGTCACAAGTGGCTTTGGTTTCTTAAAATGAATTAGATAGAGGTCACTATTTCAAATGGTAGGTGTGTGCTTGCTTTTTAAAAATTTATTTTATATTTTTTAAAATTTTATTTTATTTGTCAATATACAATGTGGTTGATTATTGTGGCCCATTACCGAAACCTCCCTCCGTCCTCCTTCTCTCCCCTCCCTCCCAATAACCTCCTAGCTGTTCACTTGTTGTATCAACTTTGAGGAATTGTAATTGTTGTGTCTTCTTCCCTCCGCCCCCAGTTTAATTGTGTATTTATTTATTTTTAGCTCCCAAAAATAAGTGAGAACATGGTATTTCTCTTTCTGTGCCTGCCTCTTTTCACTTAATATAATTTTCTCTAGGTCCATCCATGTTGCTGCAAATGGCAGTATTTCATTCTTTTTGATCAGATGGCCGTAAGTGTGTGGGTTGATTTCTGGATTCTCTATTCTGTTCCATTGATCAATGTGTCTGTTTTTATACCAGTACCATGCTGTTTTGGTTATTATAGCTTTGTAGTATAGTTTAAAGTCAGGTAGTGTTATGCCTCCAGCTGTATTTTTTTTTTTTTGCTCAGCATTGCTTTGGCTATGCGAGGTCTTTTGTTATTCCATACAAATGTCTGGAGAGTTCTTTCCATTTCTGAGAGAAATGTCATTGGAATTTTGATGGGGATTGCATTGAATTTATATATCACTTTGGGCAGTATGGCCATTTTCACTATGTTGATTCTTCCAATCCAAGAACATGGGATATCTTTCCATCTTCTTGTATCTTCTCTAATTTCTCTCAGCAGTGGTTTGTAGTTCTCGTTATAGAGATTTTTCACATCCTTGGTTAGCTCAATTCCTAGGTATTTTATTTTTTTGGTGGCTATTGGAAATGCTCAGGCTTTCTTGATTTCTCTTTCTGCATGTTCACTATTGGTGAATAGAAATGCTACCGATTTTTGTGTGTTGATTTTGTATCCTGCTACTGTGCTGAACTCATTTATCACCTCCAAGAGTTTTTTTGTAGATACTTTAGGCTGTTCGATATATAGGATCATGTCATCTGCAAACAGAGACAGTTTGACTTCATCTTTTCCAATCTGGATGCCTTTTATTTCCTTCTTTTCTCTGATTGCTCTGGCTAGTACTTCCAACAGTATGTTGAATAGGAGTGGTGAGAGTGGGCATCCTTGTCTGGTTCCTGTTCTTAAAGGAAAAGCTTTCAGCTTTTCCCCATTCAGGATGATATTGGCAGTGGGTTTATCATATATGGCTTTAATTATGTTGAGATACTGTCCATCTATACCTAACTTGTTGAGAGTCTTTATCATGAACGAGTGTTGAATTTTACCAAATGCTTTTTCAGCATCTATAGAGATGATCATATGGTCCTTGTGTTTGATTTTGATATGATGTATCACATTTACTGATTTGTGTATGTTGAACCAACCTTGCATCCCTGAGATGAATCCCACTTGATCATGGGGTATAATTTTGCGTGTGTGTTGCTGCATTCTGTTATTTTATTCTAGTATTTTATTGAGGATTTTTACATCTATATTCATCAAGGATATTGGCCTGTAGTTTTCTTTTTTAGTTGAATCTTTACCTGGTTTTGGTATCAGGGTGATGTTTGCTTCATAGAATGAGTTTGGGAGAATGGCCTCTGTTTCAACCTTTTGGAATAGTTTGTAGAGAATTGGTGTCAATTCTTCTTTGAATGTTTGGTAGAATTCCGCTGTGAATCCATCTGGTCCTGAGCTTTTCTTTGTTGGGAGCCTTCTGATAACAGCTTCAATCTCTTTTATTGTTATTGGTCTGTTCAGATTTTCTACATCTTCTTGGCTCAGTTTTGGTAGTTTGTGTGTGTCCAGAGATTTATCCATTTACTCCAGATTTTCAAATTTGTTGGCATATAGTTGTTTATAGTAGTCTCTAATGATTCCTTGTATTTCATAAGTATCAGTTGTAATATCACCTTTTTCATTTCTAATTTTTGTTGTTTGGGTCTTCTCTCTTCTTTTTTTAGCTAGCCATGCTAGTGATTTGTCAATTTTATTTATCTTTTCAAAAAACCAACTTTTTGATTCATTGATCTTTTGTATCATTTTTTGGGGTTTTCAATTTCATTAAGTTCTGTTCTGATCTTAATGATTTCTTTCCATCTGCTAACTTCGGGTTTGGATTGCTCTTGTTTTTCTAGTTCTTTAAGGTGAAGTATTCACTTGCCACCTTTCCATTCTTCTGAAGTAAGCATTTAATGTGATAAATTTCCCCCTTGGTACTGCTTTTGCAGTATCCCACAGGTTTTGGTATGATGTATAATTATTTTCATTAGTTTCAATACACTTTTTGATTTCCTGTTTGATTTCTTCTTGGACCCATATGTCATTAAGTAGAGTGCTGTTTAATTTCCATGTGTCTGTATAGTTTCCAGAATTTCATTTGTTATTGGTTTCTAATTTTAATCCATTGTGGTCTGAAAAAATACATGGGATAATTCCAATTTTTTTGAATTTGTTGAGACTTGATTTGTGACCTAACATGTGATCTATCCTGGAGAATTATCCATGTGCTGATAAGAATGAATATTATGAGGTTGTGGGGTGGAATGTTCTGTAGATATCTGCCAAGTACAATTGGTCTAGAGTGTTGTTTAGATCTTTTGTTTCTCTGCTGATTCTTTGCCTAGATGATCTGTCCAATATTGATAGTGGGGTGTTCATGTGCCCTGCTATTATGGTATTAGTGTCTATTTCCTCTTTAGGTTTAATAGAGTTTGCTTTATAAATCTGGCTGCTCTGACATTGGGTGCATATATATTTATGATTGTTGTGTCTTCTTGATAGATCAATCTTTTTATCATTAGTAGTGGCCCTCATTGTCTCTTTTTATGGTTTTTAGTTTAAAGTCTATTTTATCAAATATAAGAATAGCTACTCCCGCTCGTTTTTCATTTCTGTTTGCATGGTAAATCTTTTTCCATCCTTTCACTCTTAGTCTATGTGAGTCTTTGTAGGTGTGGTGGATCTCTTGAAGGCAGCATATAGTTGGGTCCTCCTTTTTAATCCAGTCTGTCAGTCTGGATCTTTTGATTGGGGAATTTAATCCTTTTACATTAAGAGTTGTTACTGAAGTGTTGATTTACTCCTAGCATTTTATTGATTTTTGTTTGGATGTCTTAAGTGTCTTTTGTTCCTTTCTTTCTGATTTACTGTTTGTCTTCTGTATTTATTGGTTCCTTGGGTTGTAGATAAACTTTTTTTTCCTCTTCATTGTTGGCATTTTTATTTTACTAGTGGGTTTTGATTTTTCATGAGTTTTTATGGCAGTGGTAGTTATTTTTCAGGTACCAAACCCAGTACTCGCTTGATAATTTCTTGTAAGGGTGGTCGTGTGGTAGTGAACTCCCACAGTTTTTGTTTGTCTGAGAAATATACTATTTGCCCTTTATTTTGGAAGGATAGCTTTGCAGGGTAAAGTATTCTTGGCTGGCAATCTCTGCCTTTTAGTATTTTGAATATATCATCCCATTCCTTTTTGGCTTTTAGGGTTTGTGATGAAAAGTCTGATGTTAGTCTGAGTGGGGCTCCCTTATAGGTGATTTGACACCTCTCTCTTGCAGCTTTTAAGATTCTCTCTTTGTCTTTGAGTTTTGCCAATCTGACTATAACAAGTCTTGGAGAAGACATTTTGGGGTTGAATACATTTGGGGATCTTTCAGCTTCTTGAATCTGAAGATCTGTGTCTTTTCCTATACCTGGGAAGTTTTCTGCCACTATTTTGTTGAATATGTTTTCAATGCAATCTTCTTTTCCCTCCCTTTCTGGAATACCCATGACTCGGATATTTGTGTGCTTAATGTCATCTGATATCTCAGATTTTCTTTGTCTGCCTGTGTTATTTCAAACAACCCATCTTCAAGGTCAGACGTTCTCTCTTCTGTTTCTGCAAGCCTGCTGGTTAAACTCTCTCTTGTGTTTTTTATTTTGTTGAATGAATTCTTCAGCTCGGCAAGCTCTGCTACGTTCTTTTTCATGGCATTGATTTCCTGGTACATTTCTTCTTTCAGGTCCTATATACTTTTCTTCATTGCATCGTGCTGTCTAGATGAGTTTTCTTATATCTCATTTAGTTTCCTTAGAGTTATCACTCAAAATTCCTTGTCAGAGATTTCAAGGGCTTCTTGTTCTATAGCATCTAGATCTTGCGAGTTATTACCCTCTGGTGGTGTACGTTCTTGATTTTTCATATTTCTGGTATCTTTCCTTTGATGTTTAGTCATTGTGGCAAGGGATTTCATGGTCCACTGGTTCGACACTATTGTCTGGCTAGGATGCTGCTGGGGCTGCCAATTTGGCACAGTTGCCTCATTGTCTGCTCGGTCGCCCACTGGCGCCTCAGGTGTGTGGTCGCCTCGGGTCCTGGGCCTCTCTGGGGACACACCTCTCTGGTTGGCGTGCACTCGGCCAGGCTGGGGATAGAGTCTGGCGGCGGTGAGGCCTACCTGCTTGGTTGCATGCTGGCACCACAGGGCGTGTGGTTACCATGGATCTCGGGCCTCTCTGGTGGGGTGCCTCTCTGGTCGGTGTGCACTCGGCCGGGCTCTAGGGGTGTGCTTTCTATTTCCAACCTGACTCTACTCTTCATGAATATATTTTAGAATGGAGTTTACTCATCAGTTCATTTAATATTATAGTTTATGATCCAATTAGTCACCTAATTATTCATTTTATTAATTATCAAAATACCCATGACCTATCTCTCTAACCAAAGCAGGAGGTCCAGTTCTGACAATTCTGGCCTCTCTCACACGTGTACTTTTCATAGACTGGTGAGGACTTCTGAACTCTGGCCCCAGACCCATTGCTATGCATGCAACCATTAATAGTCCACATATGCAATCTATTTTGGGTTCCCTTCCCCCTCCCTGCATGGCTGGTGTGGGTCTACAAGAGTACTTTAAAATATAATACTA